ATGATAACACATGTGAGTGTGATGACATGTGGGTATGATAACACATGTGGTTATGATCACACATGTTGGTATGATGACACATGTGGGTATGATCACACATGTTGGTATGATGACACATGTGGGTATGATAACACATGTTGGTATGATGACACATGTGGGTATGATGGTATGATATTTGCAGGGATTAAGATTACCGTATGTGATTTGTCCCTGCATAATAATGCCGGAAATAGCAATCACACATGTTAAGCACGCATTGACATGTATGATGATTGACCCGTCTGATGGTTATAACACATGTTGGTATGATAACATGTAGGTATGATGACATGTGGGTATGAGAACTCTCTTGCAGAACATGTTGGTATGTTGATGACATGTGGGTATGACACGTGTGGGTATGATGACATGTGGGTATGATAACACATACTCACCGATTTGGTATGATGACCTGTGTATGATAAAGGAACATGCGTATGATGACATGTGGGTATGATCATATGTAAATATGATGACACGTATGAAGACATGTGGGTATGATTACATGTGGGTATGATTACATGTGGAGGTGATGACATGTGGTAGGTATGATGACACATTTGGGTATGACTATCGGTGTACATGTGGGTGTGATGACATGTGGGTATGATAACACATGGGGTGTGATGACATGTGGGTATGGGTATGACACATGTGGGTCTGATGACATGATGGGTATGATGACATGTATATGAGGTATGATGACATGTGGGTATGATGACACATGTGGGTGTGATGACATGTGGGTGACACATACATGGGTATGATGACATGTGGGTATGATGAAATGTGACACGGTGGGTATGATGACATGTGGGTATGATGACACATGTTGGTATGATCACACATGTGGGTATGATGACACATGTTGGTATGATCACATATGTGGGTATGATGACATGCCTTGGTATGATATCACATATAGGGTATGATGACACGGTGGGTATGATGACGTGTGTTTTATGATGACACTGGGTATGATAACACATGGGTATGATATGCGATGTGGGTATGATGGCGTGTGTGGGTGTATGACATGTGCGTATGTGCTTTGCGAAGACATGTCTGGCTTTGATGACATTCCAGTGTGACATGTCTGGGTAATGTCAGAAATGTTGTGGTTCAGAAGCTTTGGGCTCTCTTGCCAATACAAAAAGCTCTGGTCCTCGACTCACGTGTCCTGCTTGTATATCCTCTTGTACTTGATCATGCAATAAGTCAAAAACCTGTGTTGTTCTGGTTTGCCATGTAACCATGGTAACTATGTTAATTGTGTTTGTGTCAGTATTGCACTGGGTATCCCGGACATCAAGAAGGTGTTTGAGTTGGCTAGAGCAGATATGCCCACCGACATGGAGGAGGCTCCCAAGATGTTCCTCAAGGCTCTCGGAAAACTCTACTCGAACACACAGGTAACTTACCTGTCTCTACTCTTAACTCAAAGGTAACTTTCCATCAAGATCAGCAAGGCTACTATGAAGATAAAGTAATTACAAAAACACTTGTGGGTACTTCAGTTTATCACAGTATCATGATATTTTAAGAAAAATGTTCCCAAATTCTCCAACTCTACAAACACACTTACACCTGACTCTCAATGTTCCCACCACGATGGTAAGAGTGCTTGTGCTGGAACACTGGGCAGGCCCTTTTAACTTGCTTCACACACATGGCCACGTTTTCAGATTCTGATAAATAACAAAGGAAATCTCAAGTTATGTTTCATATTATTTCCCCACCAACTTTGCACAAGTCAATCTGTACACTAAGATGTTAACTGACTGATGATGATTTTGATGATGTCCATGTTTCAGGACCTGCGGGAGAAGATGCTGCTGCGGGAGAAGGTGATGGGGTATTTCTCAAACGTCCCCCAGCACATCTCCCCAATCCCTGCCAACATGGGGCCAGTCGACACCCTCACCTCTCTCTACTCCACGGTCGGCCACCTCGTCAAGTATTGCTCTCCCCTGCTGTTTGCACAGGTGGGTTGTGGACTCAATCTCACTGTACTTCTTCCAATTTTATGAACTAGATCAGATACAGTTGTAACTATATTTTCTTTGCGACAGAGTCTATCCTTTATTGAATTCCAGTTTGAATTTGTAGAGCATTCTGTTTGAGCTCATTCCTCGCGTGTTTGACTGATCTTGATAGAGGGAGGTGTTGAATCAGGTAAACATTCTCAGTTTAATGACATTGCTTGTTACAGCTGCCTGAGTGTAGGTACAACTATTATCCATTCTTCCTATCTGATGTACACCAGCAGGCAGTTTTCTGGTATTCCTGATCTTGCTTTCAGTCGAAGACGGACTGTCCACTGCCAGCCATCATCAATGCGATGATTGTGCCCCACTTCCTGCTCAAGACAGACAAGCCAGTGAACCCAGTGTTCCTCACTGCCGTCCGGACAAACCTCCACCTGGTAGGGATGTGTTGATGGAAGCTCTTCTCACTGACGGTTCTACTGAGTTGACAGCATGGCACATTGTCCGTCCTCTGTCCACGGATCTTGTCATAAACTTCAGATGTCATGTCTGAACAGTGGCACAGAAAAGTCTGAAACTGTAGTTACTTGTCTAGCACTGTGATGGATCTTGAATGGGGCATTAAAATCAACATGTTGATTGTTATTAATGGAAAAACAAATACAAATGTGTAAAATCCCTAAAATATAAGTCTTGGTTACCACATTGTCTCGGAAGTTGGGGCGGTGGGGTAGCCTAGTGGTTAAAGCATTGGCTCGTCAAGCGAAGACCCGGGTTCGAATCCCCACATGGGTACAATGTGTGAAGCCCATTTCTGGTGTCCCCCGCCGTGATGTTGCTGGAATATTGCTAAAAGCGGCGTAAATCCAAACTCAGTCAGTCAGTCAGTCAGTCAGTCAGTCTCGGAAGTTGAAATTAGGACGTTGACAACACAGTGACATCATGCTGGTAATATGAAAAGATCAGTTTGTTGCAACAAGGTGTGGACATGTTTCCTGCCATTGGACCTCACACAATCTGATTTGCTTACAGTTTGTTCAAGGCCTTGGCAAGTTGGACTACAAGAGGGCTCCCTATGTTCAAAGACGCCTCGGTGATATTGTCAGCCTCTACTTCACACGATTTCCACTGGTGAGTTCCAGATTTGTTTTTTCCAACTACACTCCAATATTTTATCCAGTATGTATTCCAAGTTAGAATTGTGTCTCAGCATGCTATGCAGGTCAATAAGAGCTGACTTCTCTGTTGGTTGGTAATATTCTGTGAGTTGGTTCATGAAGTGTCATCATATACCAGTTACGTAGATCATCGATCACAATATCACTGGATTGTCTGGTCCAGACTCCACTATTTACAGACCTTTTCATATACTAGCATATATCTGTGTGTAGTGTCTGACAACAAGAACATGTGGCCCTGTCAAGTAATGCACGGCAGTTTGCTGTACAGAGTTGCCTCCCCTTCACATGCCAGTATCTGTTGAATTTCAGATCTGAAATATTGTAGTCCTTCATGTATCATTATCTTACTAATGCTTTTGGTTTCATGTATGTAGTAAAACCTGCTTCCCCCTGGTGCTTTTTGCCCACATTAAGTAGATATCCATCATGAAACAGACACAGTTCCAACATGAAACAACTCAGTTACTTAAACTGTAAGGTTTCTAGATTCCACTTCAAACACTTTTCTTCATCATTGAACTTCCTCGTAAGACAGCATGGGTGGAATACTTCCAGGAGTTGAGGTGTCGCAGATATTTGAGAATATTTCTGCTCTTATGACAGCGTGCATGCGTGTGTATGTATTCAATGATGCGGCTGTTTGTACTACAGACTTTTAGTGCTGGTTTTATAGTGCTAGCCCACTGAAATATCCGCAGTGAAGCACGGATATTAGTAACACATTATACTCACTCGAGTCGACCAGTCCTTGTTGTGGCAATTAATGCCGAAGCCAATGGGACCATTTGCAAGTACCATATTTTAACGTCTTCTAGTATCCACTTCGGGATCAAACTTTCTTCACCTTTGAACTCCAGGCGACGCTCTAACCACTACATGGGTGGAAGGCGGTCCAGGGAGTTAAGAATGAAATTCAAATACACTGATCCACTGACCAGGGGAATAACAATATTGTGCCATGAGCAGTACTTGTTCTATAGAATCATAATGATAGCTGCTGTAGGTGGCATAAAACAACATTCAGTTGCATTCTTCCATTCAGTGTATTGACAGGATGGTGTATGTTTCCCTCGTGAGTAGCAATCTTTGCTTGTTTTGTCAGAAATCTACTGGGTCCAGTGCGTCAGCTGTGCATCCTTTGGTTGTGAGTACTTGTATGTTTCTGCTTCATAGTTTGACCTTCATTTACTGTGAGGCTCCTCTGTTGAAGAAACCATTCCTGACAGAGATCTAAGTTACGCCTGTTGTAACATCCATACTTTAACATGTATTGAAGATACTACCCTCACTGGGTGTGTGAAGACTGCTTTGTGGAATGTGTCCACAAGAATGTCAATTGCAGGTTCACAATGGATGCTATGAATGAATACTAAGGAGAAACTGAAGTCTCAGCTTTAGCCTCTCTCTTGAACCAAGGAAATCTGAGTTAGAATAGTTTCCTGGCAACCTGTGTGGATCAGAAGGTCGGACTCGACGACTTGGTTTATCATCGCAATCCAAACACATGGGTTATTGCTCATGTTATCAACCACTGGTTTCTTGATCTGCATCTGATTATTTATAGGTTGATGTAGCTAGAAAATTACTGACTGATGTGTACATAACAAACAAACAAGGAAAACTGTCATGATCAGTTACGTTCCTTGAATGAAAATGTCTTGTTTTCCAGCTATAGTTATTGACACATTACTAAGAAAGTGTAATCCCAAATATGACATATGTTACATGTAATTTGTGTAATTTGTTGTCAAGAGTTCACTGTATGGGTCGTTGCGTCCAGTCTCCGAGCCCTGAGTCCATGGAGCTGCGCCATCTTGTCCTGGAGATGGTGCACAACAACTACCTCCAGTTGAAGAACCAGGCTCTGCCGCCATCTGCCAGTGCCGTGAGTGACATCTCCATGTCTACATTTCTTTTGTTTTTGACTTTTAATGAAGTTAACTATAGATGTCAATATGATCACCCAAAAAAAACCCAGTTAGAAATATTACCATGCTAAGTGTATAGTCTCAACAGGGTAATTAAAGAAGAGAAAATATGAATTGGTTAAAAAGCAGGTGTCAGTGTGTTCCATTTCATTGCAAACAGGCAATCCTCTCAAAAGTTTGAAGGGGCAGTGGGGTAGCCTGATGGTTAAAGCGTTTGCTCGTCATGCAGATGATCCGGGTTCTATTTCCCACATTGGGTACAGTATGTGAAGCCCATTTCTGGTGTCCCTCGCCGTGATATTGCTGGAATATTGTTAAAAGTGGTGTAAAATCCTACTCACTCACTCAAAGTTTGAAAACCTGATGCTACCTTTAACAAAAATTGTCCATTTTTGTCCTCAAAGAAGTTAAACTTTTCAAATTGTCTCTCATGTTTTGATGAATCATCTTCTGGACTCCAGAGACAGAATTTTCATGCTAGAGAACTGTGATTGGATGTCCAGTTCTCCCTGATAATGTTTCTAGATTTGTCGACACAAAACATGTGCTTGTAGGTTTCACAAACTGTTAAATTTCTAAAACCTGCATCATATCTGGTTTTAGTCCTGTAATAAGTGCACATGCCTTCCTGTAAATGAAATACTGTTCAAATTTGTGCTGAACCAAGCTCACTTACTGTTCTAGGGTTTGACATACATCACAGAGGTGCTTCAAAGAACCAAAGGAGGGGAGACAATCGCAAAGTGAGTGAATGTACAGAAACAGAAATGTTGATCAGTGCTTCAGATCTGATAGATTGGTAATAAACTTACACATGTCTGCATACAGGGCATAAGAAGGATTAAAAAATACTGAGCACATTTTGACTTTTGTACAAATGGGGATAGTTTTGGGGTGTGGCTAATTAATGAACTAATGCATCACATGTGTATATATTATTTCAGAGACAGCAGGTTTCTGCTTCTTACATCGATGGAGTATATGCTGTTGGCACCGTCCCCTGCCCTGAAGCAGCTGTCCACCAACATCACCAAGCACCTGCTGGAGGCATGCAAGGAGAACCCAACTGTCTTACCCCTGTAGGTGATATATTGAGTGAGTGAGTGTGTTTAGTTTTATGCTGATTTAAGCAATATTCGAGCAATATCACAGTGGGGGACACCAGAAATGGGCTTCACACATTGTACCCATGTGGGGAATCGAACCCGGGTCTTTGGCGTAATGAGCGAACGCTTTAACCTCAAGGCTACCCCACCACCCCGTAGGTAATATAAGCAGGGAAAGGATGTACGTTGTTGTGTTCCAGCATATACTGATGAAGTAGACCCTAGAATGCCACTGTGGGTGATTTGAGCAGGGAAAATAAAATTGTTATTCTCTACCGATTACGGACTATCCCTATCCTGGGATAATATTTGTTATACACTCGACATATTATGTCAATAGTACAGGTGTGGTTACAGCAAGGCATTCCGTCCATCCTTCTGAGGACATATTTGATGTGACCTATATAACTTGAAAACCTCTGCATAGATTTGTTTCAAACTTGGTGAACTCTTTTCAACCATTAGATGTTAAGTGCTCAGGCGGAGTTCAATATCTGGATTTTCTATTAAAAAACCCCAGCTGTTTTTCATTTTCTTAATTCAACATATGTTTAAGGTCAGGAGTATTTGTCAGGAGCCCTGCTTTTTATTTGCATTTTTAAGATAAAACTGCAGACAGATGTGTGTACAATTCAGCGAACTCTCTTGTGAAAACTAAGTAGAGATTATTGACACTTCAGGAAATTCTACCACAGGCATCTCCTCTGTGCCCTCCGGAAATTGTCTTGTGTTTTTTTAATGTCAGGGTCAGGCAGGGATGTTTGCAGACAGAAAGTAAATGCTGTGTTAAGCTTTTGGGAGTTTCATGAAAGGCAGTCAGAGGCCCAGATAAGCTGCGTATCCGGGTAAAATACGCATAGAAAATTTCCAATTACGCATTGAAAAATAATTGTTGCGTACCAATTATGCATTTAAAATGTTAGATAAGCAAAAGGTTTAAAACAAATGCGTACGGAATATATTTATAAAAAATCGCTTGCGTAATGAAAAATACATTGATTGCTATCAAGTTGTAATGTTAGTATAGGACTAGTGTTGTACTGTCAGTATAGGATGAGTGATTTTTTATGAAATATTAACTTGGTTTTGATTAGGTATGACATAAGGCAGAACATACCTGCTTAGTAAACTTACTCAATGACATAATACTTAGGTGAGTAAAATGACTGAAATACGCCCATATTTGAAAGCAGTGGGTAACAGAAAATGAGGTGAGTTGAAATTGGGTTTTACGTCGTGCTTGAGAATATTTCGCTCATATGACGACGCGCATGTTTGTGTATGTGTATGTGCGGCTGCTTGTACTAGCTCAGACTTCAGCTGGTTTTATAGTGCTAGCCCACTGAGATACCATGCTGCAGTGAAGCATGAATACCCCACTCAGACACATTATACTGACTCCGAGCCGACCAGTCCTTGTTGTACCCATTAATGCCGAGCGCCAGGCAGGGACCAACAAGTACCATATTTTAACGTGTTTTGGTATGACGCGGTCGGGGATCGAACCCGCGACCTTCCGCAATGGAAAATGAAATACCCACTCAACATTCATAATACCCACTCAAAATAAATACAGCGGGTACAGTACCCACATGAGCTAAATCTTATCTGGAGCTCTGGCAGTGATGGGGCTAAATATGTTTTTGCTAGTACTTATAAACCGTTTTACCTGAAGGGTGTATGGCGTTTGTATTGAGACAAGATGATGTTCCTGGTGTTCTAGGGCTGATCTTGTGCTGATTGTACTGGGGTATTTTGGGAAGTACCTGAAGCTCCAGACGGAGGGGTTTTTCCAGGTGCTGGGGAGGATCGCGGAAGTTCACCCCGAGCTGCTGGCTCAGCTCATCCCTGACATAACAGGTGCTGTTCGAGACCTGGAGAAGAAGCGAGGAGTCGGAGTTGACACGTCTCTCAGGTAGGCTATAACCCTACACAAACATTAACAGATGTCTTCAGTATGTGGTGGGTGAATTGTTAATTTTGTTTTGATGTTGTTTAATGCTGAACTCAGCAGTTGTCCAGCCATATGACCGCAGTCTGTTAATAATCAATTATAGACCAGACAATCCAGTGATTAACATCAGAAACATTTATGTTCACAAATGAGGTAAAATGATAAATCAGCGAGCCTGATCACCCAACCTCGTTATTTGCCTCTTCTGTCAAGCCGAGGATCCAACTTGAATCTTTGATAGGAAATATAATGTAAGTTTTTTAAATGTAAGATTTTGATGCACAAACAGATTAACTGGTGATGAACAGTGCAGCATGACAAAATCTGGATGAAGTCACGGAACTAGTGAACTCAGGGATGTTATGTTTGTGTTCCAGGAAGCTGTACGTGGGTGTTCTATCCAAGTTGGGGGAAGCTGGTGACGCAGAGAAGCAGAGGTTACAGCTGGACCACATGTAGAATGCACCAGCAGTAGAACAGCTAGACTGCTGACAGAACAGCGGCACCACACACTGAATGGCTATGCCACATGTAGAACGTCAGGACCACAGACAGAACATCTGGACTGCTGACAGACCCACATGTAGACCAGGCGGAGGCAGTTGGAACCTACACAGACCACACAGAACAATGGCAGCCACCACCAGCTCAACAATAATCACTCTCCTCATACATCAAGCTGACCGGCTGTGATAGAATGTTATCCAAATATACATACACCCCATCTATGAGACATAATTATTGCTTACCTACAATACAGGCATGAGTATAAATGTTCCATAAAAAAAACCTTATTTATTTGAGACAGACCCTTTCTTCTAATGTGTGCTCCCTGGAAGGAGGAAAACGTCATGATGAAAAAGGGGGCTGGAGGAAGGAGTCCAAAAGTCGGGCAAAATGACCACAAGACCCGTTTGGTCCCCTCGAATGACAAGCATGGGTTGCTGAAGACCAGTAATAACCTGGATCTTCAGTGGTGACCATGGTTTATGAGCTTGCCCTTGTGTGTTATAGCCTTTATTGATGGTCAGTTACTATGACTACAAGAACGTGGCACTGGGAACTGGCACCTGGAAGTGACTGAGATGGCCCAGGAAGCATGCCTGATCATAACAAAACTAAACTGACTTGGACATGTTTTCTCTGATGCTGGAGGGTGTTGACAGAAGAGAGGTGTTGTTTTGGAATAAATGTTTGGATAACTATAACCAAGGTTGTTCGTGTATTTATTTATAGACCCCCAGCAGACATTGATGTTTGAAAGACACGATGTGGATACAGCCCCGAGCCTGTGTCTACATAGATGACCTGTCCATACTAAACTGCAAGACCATGACAACACCTGACCTCATCGTGCCCAGATTGCTACCTGGACTATTAGTTGGTTGGTTGGTTGTTTAACGCCGCACTCAGCAATATTCCAGCTATATGGCGGTGATCTGTAAATAAACGAGTCTGGACCAGACAATCCAATAATCAACAGCAGGAGCATCGATCAATTGTGATACGATGACATGTGTTAACCAAGTCAGCGAGCCTGACCACCCCATCCCATTAGTCGCCTGTTACAAGCATGAGTTACTGAAGATCAATTCTAACCCGGATCTTCACGGGTTCTTCACGGTTCTACGCAATTAGGATACGAGGACATGTGTCAACCAAGTCGGCGAGCCTGACCACCGATCCCATTAGTCGCTTCTTAGGACAAGCATGAGTTACTGAAGATCAATTCTAACCCGGATCTTCACGGGTTCTTCACGGTTCTACGCAATTAGGATACGAGGACATGTGTCAACCAAGTCGGCGAGCCTGACCACCCACACCCGTTAGTCGCCTCTTAGAACAAGCATGGGTTGCTGAAGGCCAATTCTAACCCGAATCTTCACGGGTTCTGGACTGTTGGTAAAGCATACGGAAAAAGGACGGTCCACTGAAGGTCCACAGAAATGTCACCGATAGAGCATCTCTGGGATGTTCTCGCGTGGAGATTTGTGCCAGAAATATAAGATGGGAGGAGACCAACACAATAGCCAAAAGTGGCAGTAGGCGTACGAATACAACCCTCTGAAGCCGAAACTTCATTGTGCACTCTGTTTTCTTCTGCTTCTTTTGTTGTTTTTTCTACGATTATAACTACAGGTAACAACGGCGCAAACGTAAACGTTTGATGTAGATTACGTGGAGGTCATTTGGATAGTCCATTTGATTTTACAGAAAACTGGCGCTGATGTGAATCTAAGGCTTTCGTATATGCATATATCCACTAACACAAAAGTACGCAAACAAAAACAAATGCACCCACGCTAAAGACAACCCAAAAAAACGAAGGGACAAAGCCAACTACATGCAAACTTTCAAGACGTTCCCCGAAGAAACTATGCACCTGGAAAAAGTTGAGCACCCTTAAATATGATGACACGTATGATAAGTGATCATTTAAGAAATTATTGCAAGTGTACTTAGTTGAAAGTGTCTCCCAAACACATCCTGTGGAACATGTCCAGAAGCAAATCCACGAATTTTGTGCACGTGTAACATGTCGGTATCTAATCTGCATGGGTTACAACGTTTGATAATTATTCTGCCACTATGGTTCGAAGTAGATGATCAGGTGGCAAATAATTGGTATATCATAAAAAAAGACTGGTAATTTTTCTCTGTTGCGCAACCCTATTTGCGCTACAGTCTGCCTTTGGGCGGAATCAACATAGCAGTTTCCTCTGCAACGGACTCGACGTAGGGTACAGGCAGTTATCCAAGCACGTGCACGTGGAGGGGACAGTAGATATTGATTATGCAAAGTTCCCAGCTTACAAATAAACGCTTTTGTCTCATCACATATACGCATACACGCCATTTTCGGACAATCCCCATTTCACATAATATTTTACATATTTGATAAAACTGGTACTAGCTTCCCAGCAGGTCTGAGAGGCCACACCTATACGTCCCCACCCCACCTTAGGGCATGTGTCCCTGCTACTGCCGGTGGGGAGTCCAGGTGTACCCACACACTATACAAGCAGAGGTGTAGCTACCATTATAAAAAAGCCCGCTCTTACACATGATTTTTGCATTCGTCACAACTCGCCTCTTTCCGTAAGCTATTCGGCTTCTCCCGGAATAACACGAGTTGGTCACGAATGATGATTTTTGCTGAAGATCACCATGGAAGTTGGGCAAGCCCTCAATATGATCTAAATATAAAGCTTTGCAACCTATCGGGCTTACACGAAAAAAGTTGGCTTGCTACGCGCCAAGGACTAGATTTTCGAAACGTTCGTAAGCCTAGAATTCTTAACTTTGATCGTAGCCACAGTGATAGGAATGGGCTTAAGTAGTTCGTAAGGGATCCTTTCACAAAGCAACTTTACTAAGGTTAACCTTAACTGCCATTCTTTAACACTGAAATAAGGTTGCCTTAGTGACTTACGATCACCTTAGTGCTTTGTGAAAGGATAGATACCCTATGTATATTTTTGCGTACAAACGCTGTATTATGTATTGGTACAAACTGTTAAATATGCCTTCTATACGTTTCCCTAAGAAATGTTACAATTTATTACTGTTAGATGCTTCAAATGGTAAAATGAACTGGACATCAAAATTTGAAAAATCTATTGTATACAATGGGTTTTGGATACGTATGGGAAAATCAATTTATTCCTAATATAAACCTTTTTATTTCTGAATTCATATCTAGAGCCCAAAACACATATTTACAGGAATGGCATTCCTCGTTGTCTAGTGGCTGAAAAACTTACCTATATTCTCAATTTAAATTTATATTTGGTGTTGAGCCATATCTCCATTGCATAACTATCAAGAAATCGTATTGCCTTAGCGAGGTTCAGGTGTAGTTCACACCAACTGAATATAGAAACTGGTAGATATATAAAGAAACCAAAAAACTCAAGATTGTGTGAAATGTGTTCCTGTAACTATGTTGAAAATGAGTACCACTTTTTACTGATTTGTACTGTCTATGATGATCTACGTAAACGTTTTATCCCTGTCGATGTTTTCACCCATCCAACCTTGTGTAAATTTAATCGACTGATGAGTAATGCTACTCCTCTTGTGTTAAGAAATCTTGCCGTGTTTATCTTCTATGCTAACAATCGTCGTCTCTACAGCTTGAAGGCTGCCAATGTATAACGTTGTACCATGGGCCGATGGCCTACATTCACATGAATAAAGACTAGAAGAAAGGAGGCCCTGGATTTCCCACACCACTATACCAGCTGAGCCAATGACGTTTATGTCCCAGAAATTGTTTCAGATACAACTTATATATCAATTTGCAGAGACATTTTGAATGTCTGAAAAATACAACAATTCTTCATTTTTCATGATCAATATTATTTTCATATGTCTATAAAGGTATGCAATTGTACGTAAATGTGCATACACGTGGGAATGTCAATATGCGTTCATATGTTTTGATAGCCATGTGTATATGCATGTGCCTGTTTATGAGTGCGCATGATATGTCACACATTGTGCCACAATCATCCAGGTTACGCCTGTGTTAAACTATCAGGCTCATCACTCGTTCAAACAATTAGGGGCAGCGGGGTAGTCTAGTGGTGAAAGCGTTAGCCCTTCACGCCGAAGGCCCGGGTTCGATTCCCCACATGGATACAATGTGTGAAGCCCATTTCTGGTGTTCCCCGCCGTGATATTGCTGGAACATTGACAAAAACGTTACTTGGTTGAAAACTGTCCCCGGAAGACTGTAAACGTAAGGTCCAAAACACAACGTTGATACCCGTACGAAATACATCACAGTCGAAGGAAGTATGTCGCATATTTCATTTAGCAGCAATCAACATTCATGTGTCTTCTACCGGGCGGCTTATGTATAGGCAAGCGTTCCTAATCCACCATGCTTGCAATTAACAATAGAACCACTTACTGCCCAGTCACCATCGCCCGTGCTCCACGTGCAAGAGTGGTGGTAATATATACATGGCCAGCTTCACTGGCCACCAGTTGGACACTCAGAGCGCGTCCAGGTTGATCACAGTTTGAAACATGGCAAACAATTACATCGCCTCTCAACCCCAGGTGAGAAGTGTTACAAGTACCTGCTGATAATTAATTATGTCTATGTCATTACATATTAGTTTTCGTTTGTAGTATGTTTTGGTAAAGACAATACCTGTCAGTGTGTTTTAATGGTGGACATATTTATATATACTGAACAGTAAAAGTAACGCAAGTCTGGCTTTTTGTCAGGTTTTTGAATAGAAGACAACCAAAATCATGTCTAATCATTTATTCTATAGAAAACACTGTCAATTTAACAGTTGAAAGTTGCTGTTGACATTGAATTGCAATAAGTTCAAATTGATCACAGTCCGTCAAATGGAGATACCCAAGAACTAAGGCTGCTGTTATTGTTTCTGCTTGAGTTCGGTTCCTTAGATGAGTGACCCGGATGAACCGATCTTGCGTATGAGTTGTCACTCGTTGCCGTCCGGTACGGGGACGATCAGCAGCAACCCCGGTTTGCTGATGACGTTGAGCAAGTCGTGTAATGGTGGTAAGATGACAGCCCAATTGCCTAGCTACAGTGGTTGCAGAGCTACCTCCGTGCAACTTTCCAATGGCCATTCCCCTCTGCTCAGTCGTTAGTCTAGGCATCGTTTGCGTGGCGTGTACACCTCCTAGCGTCAATACTGAACAGTATTTTTGACACAAACCTTTATAAAGAATACCTGAGAGTGAAATGCATGCTTTCCATCCAGAACCGTCGATGCACGTGCTAAAATTATGGTTTTGCTGCACTGTTGGTGTGTTTGTGTGAATGGTTCGTATAGACGTCAAATTGCATGACATCATCACATCTGGGATCATTACGTCACTTTACCATGAACGTTCCATAAACATGAACGCTTGCCTTCATGGAAATTTCATTGTTTCGAAACTTGCGTTTCTTTTGCTGTTCAGTATATATTAAAACTTGTTTTGTTTATAAATGAGTAACCCAGAAATAGGAGTTGGAATTAGTTGATCATGCTGTAAGTGACTTGTCCAATGAGTTCCTTCCGTTCCCCATATTTTTTGTAACATTACAGAGGTAACGCAACGTGGTTCGACCCTATATATTGTAATGATATTTTGGGCTTTTCGTTATTTTTGTAAGTTCTCTAGTAATTGTTGTGTTAGGTTAAACGCTTACCGTTTCATTACCCGATGATCACATTTACCGACTGCCTGCAGCTGCATGGTGTGTACCATTCACTCCCCTTTCGGCTTCATAGGGAGGTGTAGAATATCACTTTTAACCAAATCATCACTAACACCTTAGTCTTTTGTGACTGGTTATATTTTAAGACTTCTTATATCTCATCGTTGTGTATCATGTCTCGCTCAGTAAACCGCTAGGAACACTAGGGTCTGTTGTATCTAAATCCATCGGATTTTAAACATAATTTTTTTAAATCCAGCGAAGGAATTTGTTCCTATTGGCTGTTAACACATGAACACATGACCCATTGACAGAAGTCATATGTAAAAATCCGGTGTGCATGACCTTGACTGAAACTCCATTTACTAATCGGAAAAGAACCCGTGATTGTTGGGGATCAGGTAGTAAATCTTTGACCTGATTGAATCCCTAGACGGTTTGCCCACATGGACTCATATAACGAAACATGTGGACCAGCTAGAACATTGCCGCTCACTGTACTATCAACAGCAATAGCATGTCCTCTTTAATATTTTGAAAAAGTGGTTCACATATTGAAGATGACTTGTTGATTTTCAGCCAATGGGAATGCCGACCAACCAGCCAATGGGAATGCCGATCAACCAGCCAATGGGAATGCCGATGGCACAACCAGTTGCTATGCCAATGATTCAACCAATGATGAACAACCAGAGCAACACGACAGTGGTCGTAAACTCCCAGCCGTCAGCGGTAGATAACTCTTCCCGATCCTGGAGCTCTGGGCTCTGTGCCTGTTGTGACAACTTCGGTATTTGTAAGTAATGAGGATTTTACGATCGCATGCTAAATTCACGTTTTCCGCAGAACTACCCAAACCGATGACGCCATGGTCCTGTCAGCATGGTGAAGGGTTGGCATCTATGATCACGCGGACAAGACGTCCGATCTGGGAACAGAGGTTCCGTGGCTGGAATCTCAGCCCGGTAAATGTTATGGCCTCTTGGAACGTCCTCTGATATTGTTTTCGGAGGTCTCTGATATTCATAACACCTATGAAGACCGCTTCCACGCTGTTAGGCTGCTTAAACACGCCATTGACCACACGTCACTGAGTGTAACCACCCGATCCAGTTTGTAGCCTCCTAGGATAAATATGGTTTGTTGGGGTCTATTGTCACTTGGCCCACACAAGAACACCTTTTAGGACTCCAATATTCATAAACGCAGGGAAGCACGTTCGAAAAGGCACCCACTGAACGACAGCATCCAAATTTAGTTAAAATCCAAAGCCTTTAAAATTCAGCTATATTAGAATAGGATTAGCACCCTATTACTGGTCGTAAAGTGCCGAATATATTGTACTGAGAGTCCATATACTCTGTGAAATACCCCGATAACGTTGGATTTCAGACAGTTTCTGTTAGTACACTGTGTCTGTTTCATTGATCTTCTGTCGGCATGGGGGCGGTGGGGTAGCCTAGTGGTTAAAGCGTTGGCTCATCACGCCAAAGACCCGGGTTCGAATCCCCACATGGGTACAATGTGTGAAGCCCATTTCTGGTGTCCCCCGTCGTGATGTTGCTGGAATATTGCTAAAAGCGGCGTAAAACCAAACTCAGTCGGTCTGTCAGTCAGTCTATCGGCATGGGTACAATGTGTGAAGCACATTTCTGGATTCCTCGCCGTGATATTGCTGGAATGTTGCTAAAACGGCGTAAACGTTCTTCCACTCTTCTGTCGTTCAGCACTTCACCACAAACATTACGTGATGATTGTTTTGTATAGAGTGTTTGTTGTCTGCAGGTATGACGGTGTGGCTGTGTCCGGCGTGCTACGCCTGCCACCTTGCGGGGAAGTCTGGGGAGTTCTGCCTGGTGCCGCTGTTAGTACCCGGGTGGATGATATCCCTCAGGGCCTACGTCAGGGGCAGATACCGGATTTCGGTCAGTGCAGTTGTTTTCAATGAAAGTTTTTCTCATGAATTATCAAAATAACAACCGGAAGACTAAACCATCGTCAGTTCAGCTGTATTCAAGTTGAACACGCGTGCCATGTATGCGAAGTATGTATTTATAGGACATAAACTGGAGCAATGTCAGGATTGTTTCATAGTAACATATAAAAATGTCTTTAACAAATTAGCATATTAAAAAATATACCCCCCTCCAATACATAATTATCCCCTCTCTCTCTCTCCCTCCCTCTCTCTCTCTCTCTCCCTCTCTCTCTCTCTCTCTCTCTCTCTCTCTCTCCCTCTCTCTCTCTCTCTCTCCCCTCTCTCGTAGATGTCTGGGTCTGATTTCAGTTTTTAGAAAGAAATCCTTAATTGTGACAAGGAGTTTTGGAATTTGTTGATAATTACCATTGTGTCTCTTCCTGTTCCAAATAATTGTAGCTCTTGTATGGGGCAAATCATCTTTATCCAAAGATGTCTTTTTACTTTGTCTGAAGCTGGATAGAAGTAGTCACTTTCTACCCTGAGTTTCTTTACAATTATATCCATTTTCTTGCAGGGAACTCTATGTGACGATTGCATGAAAGTCACGTGCTGCTTCCAGCTCACTATGTGTCAGTTGTCACGTGAAATTGACTTCATCAAAGACGGGAAGACGGCGCTGTAGTCACGTGGAACTGACATCAACAACCGGAAGTACCGTTGTAGTCATGTGGTCAACGTATACCTTGTGCTAACTGTGATAAAAATAAAAGTGCTCAACATTATCACTATTTCGGTTATCTTTGACTATTTTTCGAAACGAAGCTAGCGAAGTACGTTGCCAAGACTGGTTACTTTGCTCTGTTGCGCAACCCTATTTGCGCTACGGTTTGCCTGTGCTCTGACCGGAAACTTGTTTGTGTTGGAGATTGAAAAGGCAGGGTGTTTCCCAATGACGCTACTAAATGCTAAAAAGGGATTATTGTGGCAGAAACAGATGTCGAATATATGTAGATCTGAACACAAGAATAAATGTACTCAAAAATTGAAATGGCTTCACTCATTTGGGGAATCTAACCCGAGTCTTCGGAATGACGAGCGAACACTTTCACCACTGGGCTACACAACCGCAAGTCTAGATTTCATCAGTTCCCAAACATTCCAACTCACTTGGGCTCCTTTGAGTTGAAATGGTATTATTTGCTTCTATCAAAATTATATCAGAGACTAAGTGTCATGTTTAACAGAACATGTGCGATTGCAATTTAGTACTAATCTTTTATACCAAAACAGACGAATCGTCAAAAAGCATGCAATCATCAATCAATAAATCTAATGTTTGTATCTTTTGAAAATTTGTCTTCAAACTAAAATAGATCGTTTATCCGTAATGTAAGAAAATAAATAATGAAATACGTCTATCGTTTATTCAAGAAAGCATAATGTATTGATGTATTTCACAACATACTGATGAAGTATAAATCATGTTTGCAGTTTGCATACTTTCAATAGCACAGGGTTGTCCTGGGCAGGCTGGAAGTGACCAATCAAATTACGGCTCTAAATGTTGCCTTGCTGCCATATTTGGAATGTGGATCCGTGTGTTGTCAGTTGTTTGTTTATATTTACATTTTGTAGTACGTGAAAGGGTCAGCATACAACCGCCATACGTGTTTCAAATACTGGTCTCTCGATCCAGGAACTCTATACTTGCTCCTGTCACCCACCTTTGCATTATATGCAGATTTCAGTAACAGGAACGAGGAAAGAGTGTATTACACGCTGAACACAAAGGTCAATCCGGTGATACAATGACGCTCCTTAGACAAATATTTATTGTTTGGCGATTTTTGTTCCGGACAGGCTGACATAACTAACTCTTTGAAATAGCCCGACAAGGGTGGGCGGGCGAGCCAACAAGAGTTAAACATATCAAACGTTGATGCTGTCAAATATCTGTAAGCAACAGGACTGGTGGGCAGGATATATAGCATTGTGTAGTGTCGTAGCCCATATATGTCATAAAGATATGTTGGTGATGAAATAAATTTATATAGATGTTGGTGATGAGTTTTATCCCAGACTGGTGGGCGATGGGATAGCCTAGTGGTTAAAGCGTTCGCTCGTCACGCCGAAGACCCGGGTTCGATTCCCTCACATTGGTACAATAAGTGAAGCCTATTTTTGGTGGTATTGCTAGAATATATCTAAAAGCGGCGTAAAAATAAACTCACCCAAATCTGATGAATATATGAAAAACTCTTTTTGTGACATAAAAGCGGTAATATGGGGAAAATATTAATTTACACCACTGGGCACTTTAATTGCTCTTGATCATTTCAATAAAAGTGCAACAAAATGTGATTCCTGATTGTCACCAGGCTGGGCTATTTTTGCAAGTTTGACCACTGTTGCGGCGAGGTGAATACTCTCAACACTGTCCTTATGGCTACAGTCACTGCATTTATATTATACTGCTTTGCTAACTTTTTCAGTTGTTAATTATATCACACTTCTTTCCTGTTCTTCGAGCTCTGTACTGAACATACTGTATAGTTAAGGTATAGTTTCAACTTGGAAATCAACACGTCACAATCGATACCAAAATAATATAGGCGTGGTTGATACCAAAATAATAAAGGCGTGATCAGTTAAACAATGAGAGGATTGTTTTGATACGTTACATCATTGTTTCCTGAAACCAAGGACCAAGACCCAGCTCATCTTACAGTTTAGTCATACAGTGATCCTGAATCATTCCGTGCTATGAATTCGAAAACAGTCTTTCTAAACAGGCGTCCAGGATTCACACTCATTACAACGATAGCAGGTGTTTGCGAAAAAGCAGAGAGAGAGGGAGAGAGAGAGAGAGAGAGAGAGAGAGAGAGAGAGAGAGAGAGAGAGAGAGAGAGAGAGAGAGAGAGAGAGAGAGAGAGAGAGAGAGAGAGAGAGAGAGAGAGAGAGAGGGGAAGGGAGGGGACTCCCGGGTATAAACACTCCAGGGGCGACAGCGCGACGTTGTTTTCCAGTGTTGCAATCACTACTGTGCACACACACACGGAAATAGGACCCCCAACTACAAATACAACAGCGACAAGTGCAAATACCACCCGGCAACATGTGACACGTTCACGTTTACATCCCACAAGATATACTAAAAGGTCAGCTCTAGTGATTACTCTTGGGAAAAGAGACTGCATTAAGAGAATATCCTTGCAATTTATATGAATGGATCATTGAAAATCAACCTATATGATGTACAACACGCACATACCCACTCACTCACACACGCGCACAGGTACACACATCAAGGTCAGTCTTCAGGGACGACAATGTTAGGCCACATCGTGCACGTGCCTTTGGTGATTTCTTTCACGAGACGGTATAAACTCCCTTGGCCCACTCGGAGTCCAGGGACCCGTTCCACAAAGCGATCGTAGCGCTATGATGGTCGTAACTCCCATACTTTAACATAGACTTACGACTGTCGTAACTGGCCTACGAGAGCTTTGTGAAACGGGGCCCAGATCTCAATCCCACGGACTGATGGGTCGCCGCCCGGAGTCCAGATCTCAATCCCACGGACATGATGGGTCGCCACCCGGACTCTAGATCTCAATTCCACGGACATTGTGGGTAGCAGAATACGTCAGAGCGATCATCCAGTACAAAACGTTGTAGTACCTCAACGTCAGATACAGTCAGCGAGGAGGACGGCCAGGGTTGTCATTACTGTGGCGGTTATTGTTACGTACGTGATTTCTTGGGGGTCGTATGCCGCATCTTGTTAACGTAATAATCAATAGTTGTCGGCAGTACACAATGCCATATTTGCCTCCTCTGTTGTTTCTTGCTTTTAAATATGCCATTTAATTATTCCTTGAGAGGCAATGTATCCAGATGACGAGATAAATTCAAGTTTGGTTAATTTCTTTTGCAATGGGTAATGGTAATATATTGATACTATAAGAAAAATTATGGGGCGTTACGATACTTTTTTCGATGTGTATATGTCCGAATATTCATAACAGTAATTAATGAAAGTGACAGAATGTCACGCGTTGGTGGACAAGTCAATACACAATTTTGTGGTGACGAGGATTAAGAATGCAGGTTAGCGTCATGTCAATAAATAAAATCAAGTTATACATGTCTAAGCTACATAATAATTGATACTTGGAATTATTCTGACAATGGCTGTCCTGAATCCTTCGCTGTAACAGATTGATGGACTATTATGAAGTATGATTCGCTTGACAGCATAATTACACTGGAAATATCGACATTTTAATTATTACGTTTACGCCTATAGCATTTGAGCGTCTATGTCAATATTCTCACGTGGTTGAGATGAGTATTCAGTATTAAGAAATCGTCCACTTTCATTATTTTAATCAAAACAGTTTTACGAGATAGAGTCAAGTATTCAACATAAAAAATCGTTCACTTTCATTAGTAAATTTAAAAAAAATCAGTTTTACGCGCTGTGGAGGTGTGGGGGGTAATAAAAATGTGCTTTCATCTTTGCAACCAAACGCTCTCATTCATAACGAAGGGAGAGGTGTTTGATGTCCCAAAGGTGAACACATTCACCGTGTAATTTAAACACTGACAAGGTTGTTACCCTATCACTCGGCGTTATTCATTGCTGTGACAAACAGTATCTAGGTCGCCGCCCACCCGCCAGACACAGAGACACCTCCATGCTGTTTCCAAAGTAACGCACCGAGAAAAAGAGAGGAATGTCCTTTGTTATTGCGTTACTCTATTCATGCTACACAACTTATGCCAAGGTAAATAGAAGTGACACACAAAAGTGAAAATGTACGGTGGATGTTCACGAACATGAACATGGCTCAGAAGTGTGCGTGTGTACGTGTGTGTGTGCGTGCATCATGTTGGAATGGATGGCAGGTAATCCTCATGCATCATGTTGGTATGGATGGCAAGCCATCCTCATGCATCATGTTGGTATGGATGGCAAGCCATTCTCATGCATCATGTTGGTATGGATGGCATCATGTTGGTATGGATGGCAAGCCATCCTCATGCATCATGTTGGTATGCATGGCAAGCCATCCTCATGCATCATGTTGGTATGCATGGCAAGCCATCCTCATGCATCACGTTGGTATGGATGACAGGCCATCCTCATGCATCATGTTGGTATGGATGGCAAGTCATCCTCATGCATCATGTTGGTATGGATGGCAAGCCATCCTCATGCATCATGTTGGTATGCATGGCAAGCCATCCTCATGCATCATGTTGGTATGCATGGCAAGCCATCCTCATGCATCATGTTGGTATGGATGACAGGCCATTCTCAAGGATCATGTTGGTAGGGATGGCAAGTCATCCTCATGCATCATGTTGGTATGGATGACAGGCCATCCTCATGCATCATGTTGGTATGGATGGCAAGCCATCCTCATGCATCACGTTGGTATGGATGACAAGTCATCCTCATGCATCATGTAAGTATGGATGACAGGCCATCCTCATGCATCATGTTGGTATGGATGACAGGCCATCCTCATGCATCATGTTGGTATGGATGACAAGTCATCCTCATGCATCATGTTGGTATGGATGACAAGTCATCCTCATGCATCATGTTGGTATGGATGACAGGCCATCCTCATGCATCATGTTGGTATGGATGACAGGCCATCCTCATGCATCATGTTGGTATGGATGACAAGTCATCCTCATGCATCATGTTGGTATGGATGACAGGCCATCCTCATGCATCATGTTGGTATGGATGGCAGGCCATCCTCAT